ATACTATCCGTATAGTGCATGATTCTGGTTGATACTATCCGTATAGTGCATGATTCTGGTTGATACTATCCGTATAGTGCATGATTCTGGTTGATACTATCCGTATAATGCATGATTCTGGTTGATACTATCCCAGAATCATGCATATACTATACGGATAGTATCAACCGTGCATGTTTCCGGTTGATATAAATAATTACAGTGGATAATTAATCAGGCCATGTCTGATTGGTGTGGTATTGCTTCTAGTTAGATAAGTACACGATTGGTTGATAACAACAGAGTATACACTTGATGTTATATTCAGAGTGGGGGGCCCTTTTAACAACTGTCTGTAATAATTTTGCATATTATTCATTATTTATCAAATTAAAATCAACAATTGAATGAACAAAAAACAAGAAAATAAGTCAAAATGCTGACAAGATTACAAGGCTACGTCTTTATAGCTGATAAAGCTTTTTTCAAATTCTTATTAAAAATTAAAGTTACTTAATCATAGGACCAGTGTCTATTGTTCACTGATTACTTATATCCCAGAAATTAACTTTCAGAACAGAAAACATCATGAATATTTTTTGTATTGTGGAGGGGACAGGGGTGGGGATTCCAGAGATGTGGGAGCCCTAGTGTAATTGAACCAATTGCACCCTCTTGACCATTGGACCTGTTGATATTACTGATTTATTGAATGCAATTGACTTGTGCATAATGTTAGCAACAAGACGGTATACTTTACACATGATTGTTTGACAACAAAAAAGGATATACTTGTTGTTCTGTGTGTTGTTTAAGTATGAAGTTTACCTGTTTGAATGGAGTTATGTATTTATTTATAGTGCTAATATTATATTGATGAACTTTTTTATACAATCAGGTAAGTTGTAATATAAAAAAATCTATTGTTCAGTATGAAAAGTTGAGTATTACTTTATATGTTCTTCTGTTTATTTTCCATACTACCTTTTATGATAATTTATTACTAATTATTGAATCATTTTTCCCTGATTATTGCACATTTTATCATTAGATAGAACATTTTTCCATATTTTTTATTATCTTATTCCTTCTTTTATGACTATGGTTATGTAAAAAAAAAAATAGTTACTGTGGATTAATACATAGTATTTTACAAATCCTGTTAATTGTGTTTGTCTTTACTGTATACGGCTGTTTTCTTGATAAGATACTTTTTTCCTTTAGATATTTGTACCATTGCAATGTTAATTTCACCGTGTTTTGTATCATCCAGAAACCAGTTAGAGAGTCATTCAGAGCAGTGGAATCAACTGTTGCTGTCATTAAGAGAACTCACAGAATGGGTGATCAAGAAAGATACTGAACTTGCTGCTCAGCCACCTCTGGGTGGTGATGTTGCCAGTGTAACTAAACAACAAGACGAGCACAAGGCCTTTTGTAGACAGTTGGATGACAAACGTCCTGTGATTGAAAGCAACCTCCTGGCTGGAAGACAGTATCTAGCAAAAGAGCCACAATTTACAGACACTAGTGATTCTGAAGGTATGTCATTTGTAGTGCAGTATTGTTTTTATTTTTGATTTATCATGTAGAATTTTCTTCAACTACTCTGTAACGTTGTTTCACCAAAATAAGTAAAAACTATGTACTTTTTAAAAATTAATGGTTCTGATTACTTTGCAGGTGGCCCTGTAAATCTGAGAGCTTTTAATGCTAAAAATTGAATTTTGATACTTGCCTTGGGCTCAGTCCAGATAGCCCATTCTGTAGCTTTGTGCTTAATAATAAACAATTTATTCTAAGGGAATTTTAATTTTCAAAAGAATTGATTAAAGATTGAATGAATTATTTACTGTTAACCTACTCACCCTTATCTACATTCATCGTCAAATTCTAGCACCTAGTTTGTATTTGGCATTTCAATGAGTACTACACAATATGCACAAAGGGGTCATAACATAAATAATGAAAGACTAGTTGTGAGTGATATCAGGATCTGATAACTGGAGAGATTGATGAAGAAAAAGCCAACAAAAGGTATCTCGTTTGGCTGTAATTAGGGAACTGTGCCAGAATGCTGTCA